TCCTCCCGGGCTCCCACGCTGGGCTCCCACACAGCCCCGGACCCCTGCTGGGGTCCCCATGCCAGGCCGTTAGTCCCTCCCCAGGCCCTGGGGCCCTCTCACCACACTGCTCCCCTGGTGCGGTCCTTAAAAACTAGTCTTTGGCCTGGAATGGTGCTGGTAGCCCCTGACTTTATGTGCAAGCCCCATTCGCCCCCACTCTTCTTGCCTTCGGCTCAGGTTCTACTCCTGCCTCCCGCCAATAAAGCAGGGTCCCCAGCCCTGCCCCTGTGGACTCGTAAGTCACTGGGACCCTCTGCCTGGTTTCTCCCTCGAAGATGCTGCTGCCCAAGTTTAGGCTGGGTCTGGTGCAGCTCGGGGACCTGCTAGTCCGCGGGGACACATCACACTTGGCTCTTTTTCAGCCTGGTCGGAGCTCCCTGCCCTAGGCTGTTTAAGAACCAGACCACAAAGTCCCGGGAGTGTCCATTGTGTATCTAGTGAACTCCTCACTCCCAGGAAATGGTGACTCATTGCTGACAACTGCCGACAAAGGGCAGCTCCACGCTGTGCGCACTCAGGGCAAATGCTTCTGAGAGGCACACGGGGCAGTGGGAGCGAGAGCAGTGGCAGTGTGCCAAGCAGGAAGGGGTCCAAGGAACACCTGGGCAACCAGACGGAACCCTCAGTTTCACAGAAACCGGGGAGGGAGCTCCGGCTTGATCTTGGAAGACGAACTGATGCTGGTGCTTTGGGCCAGCACCAGAGAGCTGAGGACGTGCAGCAGGAGGTGTGGGCAGAGACAGCCACCACCTGTCTGCTGCACGTGCCACCCTTGGCTGTGCCATTGTGGGGGGCACACACTGCCCTGCTCCTTCCAGCTTTCCCTGGTCCAGCCGACATCTCGCGTTGCTCCTGCCGCGGTGGTGAGCTGGGAAATGCTTAGCAACCGGCCCTCGGGGTGGGGGACTAACAATTGTAGTGTTTGCCCATTTCTGTGGTGTAAATGCTCCCAGCACGGCCAGCTGCAAGCTACCAAAATGATGTTGCGGAACACAGAGTTGGGAAGAGATGTGTGGGAGCCTTCATTTGATCGTATTTCCTCCACACAGACAGCAGATGCAAATAACCTCCGGAACAGACACTAATAAACGCAGCAAAATAATCAGGAAAGGATGAGTTTTGAGTGTTTATTACCTTTGTTTTTAATAGAAACTATTGAATTGTAAGTTTATATAAGTTTTGGTAACGGTATGTTTAAAATCGGCTCAAAGAATTCCTGAAAATGTAGCCATCAGCTCTGCGGAGCTGGCCCGAGCTGCTCCGGCACACCACTGCCGCCTGCCCGGTGCAGGGGACGGCCTGGAGGACCCGTGCTCCCGGCACCCTCAGGATCAGGGCTGCCCCGCCTTGGCTCCAGCCTCTGCTCAGAGCTCCTGCCATCAACCTGCGCCTCAATCTCTGGGACACCCTGTGGCCTCCGTGTCCCCTGCACCCACCGCTGCGCTGCAGGCTGGCAACGCCCTGAGGAAGCTGCTCTCAAAGGCGGCTTCTTCTCCTCGGTCTCCTCCGCAGCTGACCATGGTGACCACCCTCCACGCTCTGCTCTGCTCTCCTCCCTGGGTTCCAGAGCCTGAGTCCCGGGTCCCCCTCTTCTCCCTGGAAACTCTCCTGCACCAGCACCAACCTCCCGTCTTTCCTGCGCCCCGGCTGTGTCCTAGGCTTCTTATTTCTCTAGTCCACGCCTCTGAGGCCCCTCCACCCCCAGGAGGGACACCTTAAGGAGATGACTCTGGATGGGTCTCTCTAGGCTTGACTTTTTCCTAATTCTGCAACCACCTGCTCAAGTCTGCCCACGGCTTTAGGCTGGGGCTGGTGCTCTGGCCTGGGCTGTGGCCACCTACAAAGGCCAGGAATTCTCCCTAGAAGACGGATCGCAACTGGAGGGCCAGTGGGCCCGTGCCTCCACATCTCGACACACAGCAGCCCCAAAGGACATAGCTGTTTAATTGAATTTACGAGGGAGGTTATATCGCAGTGGGAAAAGCACCCTGAACGATTTAGCTCTGAAAAGTAAGTTCTGAACATCTTCTGTGTGGTGGGCGGTTGCAGTACCGCCCCGGGTTCCTTCAGCTTCCCTACGTCCGTCCCCCCACACAGCCCTGGGCCTTGGCCCTGTGATCTGCTTTGCACAGTGGGGGAACAGTAAACATGATGCAAGTGGAGACTCGAATTGCACTCGGGCTTGACCTCTCTCGCTGCCATGGGCACCCTGAGGCCACCTGCGAGCGAGCCCAGCTGGCCTGCTGGAAGATGTGTGGCCTCTCCCTGCAAGAGAACCTGGGCTCGGCCAGGCCCACTGCCAGACCAGGGGGAGCCCCGCACCCTCCCTCTGACCACAGACACGAAATCCAGTCCAGCCGAGCCCAGCCCCCACTGTGGACCCACGTCATGGTAAAGCTTATAAATAAATTGCTGTTTTAGGCCACTAAGTTTCAGAGTTAGTCTGTCGCATGCAAAAGCTAAGTGAATCCCTCGTCCGTGCAATGCACCACACAGCGTCTGGGGCGATGAGGAACGCTCAGGCCCACAGGCCACCCAGCCACAGGCTGTGTGGTCAGGGACACAGGGAGGGCCAAGAGGGTCCCCCAGATTCTGGGCCAGGATTAAGGTGAGGGGGTGAAGCATTTACCTTGCACACAAAATTTAAGGGAGTATCCTAAAACTCAGTAATCAAGATAAATACTGTAATATTTTAATGCAATATTTAAAAAAAAATCAAATTGGCAAACTATAGCCCATGTGCCAGCTGCCTGTTTTTGCAATAAAGTTTTGTTGGAATTGTTGCTGGGATTAGGGTTAGGCAAGCCAGGTAGAGTTATCCAAGTACAGGGTCAGATTTGTTGTTATTAAAAAGCTTGATTTAAAAAAATCGTGGATTTGTTTTTTGCATCAACCTTATTTGTTCATTTATTTTTTTATTTAGCTCTTGATTTGGGTCAAATCCTTCCCGACCTGCTGAATGGCCCCTGATATCCGACTGGATTGCAAACCTCTCACTGCCCCTTAGGTCCCCACCAAGGTGCCAGTGTAACCTTGCTGGGCAGTTACACCTGCTAAGAGTGAAGTCGATGAGCTCACGCACCACTTGAAAGAAAGCAGGGGTGTGAGGTGACTGGAGAGCTGGACCAGCGTCCAGGACCAGAGGAGCCTGGTCCCCTGAAGGCTCACCGTGTTCCACCAGCTCTAAAGACTCCTTCCTGTGGCGTCCCTTGATAGTGCTCATGGGCAAATTTTAGGAGCTCTTGGATTAGATCTCCAAATCACTTTAAAAAAATGTTTTGGTTTATTTGTGTGTTTGATTTTTTTCCCCCTTCTATTGTGTTTGTATCCAACCTCAGTTAACTCACTGAGGCCAGTGATGGCTGGAATATTGATGAATGAGTTGTTGGTGTTTTACAAAGTATATCTTTAGCCTTTGGCCTTGGACTGTGGAAGCATGTGTTTGGGAGTAGACCTCCCAGGGGTGTGGTGCAGAGGCCTGGGTGGTATTTACAGAACTTCCCCTGGAAGAACCACCCAGCCCTCCCCTGGTGATAATCTCAGTGTATTTTGAGCCTAAGTTGGATACTCCCCTCTCGTCTAAAAAACTATCTTTTCTTCAAAATGACCAGACATTTATAAATCAGACTTCAGCTCTTTGGTAGGCTTCAGGGAGAAAGCACCGTTGCCTTCATACCAGGGAGACTCTGGGCTGAAACTGGTGACGCTACCACCCCCACGGGTTTCTGCAGCTCCCATGCCAAGGCCAGGAAAGGCGGTGCCAGAGAGCGGCATCTGAGGAATCTGTAGGGGAGGGGATTTATTGGTGGGAACAGGAGAGATTTTTCCATTACATTCCTTTGCTGTTCATTTGCAACCACGCTACACCTTCTCAAAGTTTCACCACGGAGTGATTCCATTTCAGGGACCTACTTTTCCTCTCTGGCCTCACCGACACCACCAGCGACGAGTGGCTGTGTTTTCTCTTTACGCCTCCACAGGTCAAGCCAGGAGTTTGGACCGTGCTGGAGGTTGGGTTCAAGACGGCAGCCTTCTTCACCGAGGACAGAGAGGGGCTCACCTGTTCCCAGAGGATCGGGATGTGGCCATTGGGCTGGTCACACAACAGAGTTCCAATGTGTCCAGCCGGCAGCCACTGCCAAGAACAGGAGTAACGGGGGTCCTTGCCCTCGACAGTCATCTCAGGGGTAACCTGGCCTCCTGCCTGCTCTGCTGAGGAGTCAGAAGGCCGCTGAAAAACTCAGAGCTTATCCTTTATGTATGACCAGGGGACTACAGAGATGTCCCTACCGAAGGGCCTGGCCAGGGCAGATCGAGTGCCTGGGGGAGAGCATGCAATTTCGTCTTCACTTCCCTTTACGCACACGCAGAGGACCATCCAAATGTGGATTCATTTTATTTGATTTTGTGGCTTGTGTAGCATTCAGGACACCTGTGCCATGCTGGGCCTGAAGGCAAACATCCTTCGCCTGTCCTGAGATGAGGCCCTGATGACTCCTGCAGCCTCCCAGGCAGCCAGGGGGGCTGTTTGCCTTTATGGTCCCAACGGAGGGAGGGCAGCAGAGGGCACTCCCTGCTCCAACTGGTCAACTTTCTAAAGCCTTTAAAACAATGTGCAGAAGCCCAGGGCTGCTTTGAAGAGACCAGAAGACACTATATTCTTTATCACATTTTATTTTGTTTTATTTTTTGAAACAGAGTCTCACTCTGTTGCCTGGGCTAGAGTGCTGTAGCGTCAGCCTAGCTCACAGCAACCTTAAACTCCTGGGCTCAAGCAATCCTCCTGCCTCAGCCTCCCGAGTAGCTGGGACTACAGGCATGCGCCACCATGCCTGGCTAATTTTTTCTCTATATATTTTTAGTTGGCCAATTAATTTCTATTTCTTAGTATAGACAGGGTCTCACTCTTGCTCAGGCTGGTTTCGAACTCCTGACCTTGAGCGATCTGCCTGCCTCGGCCTCCCAAAGTGCTAGGATTATAGGTGTGAGCCACCGTACCTGGCCCTTTATCACATTTTAAAAGAGAAAGAAAATACGAAATCTGTTGCTGAGGCACATGGCTTGAGAACGAGCCTCGCTTACTCTAAATCCCTTCTGTTTCCAAGCGGTCGGTCTGAGTGAGGAGAGCTGGCGTCCGCCAAGGCCACCCCGGTCCACAGTCTCAGAAAAGGCCCCCGGTGGGGCTGAGCTCTCCCGGCCTGGTTCCTCCTCACCAGCCTGCGAGGTGGAGCCGGCCTGGCCACCCGTCTGGCCTTCCGCCTCGTCTCACCCGCCAGGGCTGCCCAAGCCACAGCTAAATGCTCCTGGGACCAGACGGTCTCCGAGGGCAAAGGTCTTCCCTCCCCCATCTGGGGGTGAAGGGTGACCAGGACCCCCCCAGGAGGGCCATGGCGGGTCCGCCCCAGCCCTCCCCTCGAGGCTCTGCCTGTGGAAGAAGTGACCGGGCGGTGGGGCTGCGACGGCCTGTCCTCAGCTCCCCGCTGCCCAGTGGCTCGCAGACAACTGTCCTTTCACATCCGTCACCTGCAGCTGCCACCAGGCTCAGAATGGGAAGCTGGCTGGTCCTCAGGCAACGATGGCGACACCCGGGGAAAGGCGCCATCCTCACTTCCTGTGAGACTGGCTGCCTGGGGAAAGAAGCCAGGGTGAGACACCAGCAGGAGGGACCCTGCACAGAGCCCCTCTGTCCCATCCCACAGAGCCCTCCTCTCACGGCTCACGTGGGAGGGAGTACAGAGAAGGCGCCCTCCCACAGGTCACCTGCTTTGGGCTGGGACACGGCTTGTCTGGCCACACTCTTTCCTCACAGGAAGCAGGCTGTTCGGTGTGGGTCGCTCAGTGACACGGGGCACACGGCATCCACCACTTGCTGAGATCCCACACCGGCTCAGCTCCGGTAGTGTCCCGCTGTTGGCTCCGGGGCTCCCCGCCCTCCCTGCACTGCCGCACTTCCTCTGGGCCCGCCAGGGCTGGGCAGGAGCGGGAGGAGGGGGCCGGCACCCACACTTCCAGCCCAGTGGGGCCAGCTGACCAGAGTGCCAGGGTCAGGAAGGTGGAGGGGCAGCCACAGAACTGCGCATATCCTGAGGGTGACTGTTTTTGTGCTGCCCGGTGTTCTTTTGTTCTATCCTTTTGTTTCCCTCATTTTCAGTAAAGCGCTTTAGAAAGGTCCAGCCCAGCCCTACAGGGAGGGAGGGGTGTCAACTGGGGAGGCTGGAAGGGCAGAGAGAGAGACGAGAGACGGAGAAGTGGTCCTTACAATGCGTAAAAGGTGAGCGGGAGGCCACAGGGGCAGAAAGGGATCCTTGGGCGCTCCCCACACTCAGGCCCTCTGTCAGCCCCTCATCTGGCTGGGGGAGCAGCCTCCTGCTTCTGTTTGACTCAGAGGACACCTGGCCAGCAGCTGGGCCCAGTGGGGACACAGCTGGTGGGGCAGGGGCTGGGCACTGCCTCCCACCAGAGGGCAGGTCGGAGTTGCAGGGCCGACCCTGGCGCAGTGGGGACAGGTCGGGGCTGACTTTGCACACCCCACAGAGGGGCGACTGATCTCCCAGTGACGCTGCCTGGAGGGCTCACTCCCCAGCTAGTGTATGGACCACTGGGGCCGATGGCAACTTAATAAGGGGAAGATTAATGAACTGGTCCCTAGGGCAAAGGAAGCCACCGGCTGGGGCCTGGTTGCGTGGAGAAGGGAAGCAGGCCTTCCCGTCTGCCGCTGGGCACGTGCAGGAGGGGCCCAGGCCCAAATGTGGCAACAAAATGCCCTTCCCTCTGAGTTGGCCAGTGGCCTGGCTCCCGCGCCAGCCAGCACCCAGGTGGACTTACTGTGCAGGCCCCTCGTGGAGGACGCCATGGAGCTGGGGCGGCTGGCCTGCTGGGGGCCGCAGGAGGAGAATTGAGGAGCCAGAGCCGATGCCTTTGCCTTGGGGGGGTTCCGGTCCAGGATCTCTGGAGTCCGGGGTGTCCGAGGCTTGCAGGTGAAGGCCGATGTAAGTTCCCTAGAACAAAATGTGCAATCTAGAGTTGCAGTTACTACACTGTTAGAGGCCACAGGAGGAGGAAGAACGACTCCCTGACACCGGCAGGTGCCAGGCAGGCCCTGTCCCAGGCACGGGTGGGGTGGGAATACCGGGCACCAGTGGGAGAAAATCCCTGCCCCCACGGAGCTCTCAGCCCTGCTTCGCTTCTCTCCTGCAAGCTCCCTGGCACTTCGGCAGCCTCGGCTTCCCCACGTGCGCAATGTCCACAGAACAGCTGCGACCATCTGGCGAGGGCGCACGTGGGCCTGGCAGTGAGCACCACGGGGGGGGGGTTATGCTCTGGGCTGGGACCTGCGAGGAAACAGTGGAATTTTCTGGTTTGATTTGTCTCTAACATGCCCTCCCTATTGTTTTCTTTTTTTTAATTTAAATTTAAATTTTGTTTATTTATTTATTTATTTTTCGAGACAGAGTCTCACTCTGTTGCCTTGGCTAGAGTGCCGTGGCGTCAGCCTAGCTCACAGCAACCTCAAACTCCTGGGCTCAAGCGATCCTCCTGCCTCAGCCTCCCGAGTAGCTGGGACTACAGGCATGTGCCACCATGCCCGGCTAATTTTTTCTATATATATTAGTTGGCCAATTAATTTCTTTCTATTTATAGTAGAAAGGTCTCGCTCTTGCTCAGGATGATTTCGAACTCCTGACCTCAAGCGATCCGCTCGCCTCAGCCTCCCAGAGTGCTAGGATTACAGGCGTGAGCCACCGCACCTGACCCCTATTTTTTTTTTCTTAACATTGAGAATGTATCACTTTAATAATTAGAAAAATAATACTTAACATATCTGAAAAGTCTCCAAATTCAAATTAGGAAGACTGCTCATAAAAACTGCTCACACTTTAGGGGGTCTTCAAACCAGGTTCAAAATGACTAGGGATTCAGCCCCATTAAATAAAACATTTAAAAAAAATGCATCATTAAATGATGCTTATTTTTGTATTACTCATGATGCTGCCCCCCAATATTTTCCATGCTATCCCTTTTACAGACAGGGTTCCACTCAGCACAGTTATGCGGCGTGCTGCTGTGGCCGCTGCATTTTATGAGCGTTATCCCAGTATCCGTCCAAAGGTCTGCGTAGCCTGTCACTATGATTTACAGTGTCGCGTACTATTTCTTCTGATCGATACACTCTAATTTATTAAGTTTATGTTCTGCTTTCCTTTCACTCATGGATAAAACTCATGTGTGCTGAGAAGTGTGGGAGGCACTTGGGATCAAAGATCAAGGTGAAATTTCTTAGGAAATTCACAGATAAGTGGGCTATCTGGGCAGGGAACAAGGTTGTAAAATAGATGAATGCCTTGCTGATGCTTTTCTTATGCATATAAAGGAGCTTCTTATATGGTCTAGCAAGAGGGTATCGCTCCTTTTTAAAACTGATAAGTAATTGTACATATTTATGGAGTACAGGATGATTTTTTTTTTTTTTTTGAGACAGAGTCTCACTTTGTTGCCCAGGCTAGAGTGAGTGCCGTGGCATCAGCCTAGCTCACAGCAACCTCAAACTCCTGGGCTCAAGCAATCCTCCTGCCTCAGCCTCCTGAGTAGCTGGGACTACAGGCATGTGCCACCATGCCCAGCTCATTTTTTCTATATATATTAGTTGGCCAATTAATTTCTTTCTATTTATAGTAGAGATGGGGTCTCGCTCTTGCTCAGGCTGGTTTCGAACTCCTGACTTAGAGCAATCCGCCCGGTCTCAGCCTCCCAGAGTGCTAGGATTACAGGCGTGAGCCACTGCGCCCGGCCAAGCATGATATTTTGATACACGTATATAATGTGTAATGATCAAATGAAGTGGTTTTCTTTAAATATTATTTGGTTTGAATAATTATTTTGCTATTCTTTTTTGATATTTTGTCTTTGTCATAAATGTTAACATATTTTAAATTATGGTAAAATAGACATAATACATATATGCCATCTTAATCATTTTAAAGTGTAGCCCTACCATATTTTAAGAAGGAACAACAGAGAAACTAGTACAAACTGCTCACGTGGACAACAGCAGCTACAACTGGCAGTGGGCGGGAAGGGCAGGCATTAGTGCTGGGTTAGCTGGGCATGTCCCCATCACGTGGTCCTGGGAGGCACCCCTCACAGCCGTGCAGGGGCTGTGCAGGTCCAGGAGGGACAGCTGGCTTCACATATAGTGCCTTAACTCCAACAGGCCGCAAGGTCAAGTTTAGAGTCAGGGGTCAGCTGGGGTGAGTCGGCGAGAAACACGAGGAAACGAGGCTTGGGCAGCAGGCTCAGGAATCTACCGTGTCCCGGCAGGAGGATAACCAGAAAGGGGCACCAACCATCCGGAGGGCAACTTGGCAGTGTGGACCAAGGCCCTAATGTGATGGGTATTTTTATGTGTCTACTTGGCTGGGCCACAGTACCAAGATATTTGGTAAAACATTATTCTAGATGTTTGTATGAAGTTCTTTTTTCGATGAGATTGACATGTAAATCTGTGGACTTTGAGCAAAGCAGACGAACCCCCGCCCATAGCGTGGGTGGGCCTCATCTAATCGGCCGAAGGTTTGAACAGGAAAAGACTGACCTTTCCGGGCAAGATGGAATTCTGCTAGCAGACGGCCTTTGGACTTGAGCTGCAACTCTTTCCTGAATCTCCAGGCTGCCGGCCCACCCTATCAGATTTTGGACTTGCCAAGCCTCAACGATCATGTCAATCCCTTAAAATAAATCTCTCTATATATACATATGCACATCTCGCTGGCTCTGTTTCTTTGGAGGACCCTTACTAACACACTGCAACAGCCAGTCTCCCCTTTCCCCTCCTGAGACAAGGCCTTTGTTGGGTCAGGGTAATAATTTTGCTGGGAATGAGCATCCTCAGATGCGTCCCCCCTGGCACTGGAAAAGGTGGCCCTCGGCAGAGCACCAGGAGCCACCCCTTGGCCTGGCAGGGCCCACCCTCAGGCGTCCCTCCAAACCACCTGGGAGCTGCTGCATAAGCTGGTTATGTTGACTGGGGTGGCCGGGCCAATGTCACTGGACTCTGCAGGGGCTCCGGGAAGGGCACTGCGGGAGGCAGGGGCACATGGCTGTTGGGAAGGGTCAGCTGAGCCCCAGGTGGCCTCGGGCTCCTCCATCCCCCAGTGTGGGGCGCTCAGCTGGGAGCCAGAGCTGGGAAATGGTGCTGAGTCGCCAGGAGATGAGGGCAGAGCAGAGAAAGCACGTGGGAAAGAAGACCAGGACGGTAGTCACCTGTGACCTGGGCAGTCAGTTGACATAGAAACACAAGGCGCTGGGTACGGGAAAGAAGGGTAAACTCTGATATATGTGCAAACTGGGAGGCGCCCTGCAAGATAGCTGATTACCTATTAGCACGGCCCGGCCCTTATGTGATCTCAGCCCATCAATAGGGACATTGTGTTGGACGGGAAGAGCAATAAAAGCCTCTGAAGAGACTTAGCCTCCGCTGGTGTCGGAATGCTGCTGAGTCATGATCCTCCGCTCCTGTGTCCCTCCAGCGTGCACTGGGGCCCAGACCAGAGCACTCAGGGGTCCCCTCGGTGGACTCTGCTCACCAGGTTCATAACTCGCCCTCAGTCATTGCCGCAGACCTTTCATCTGGGTTACGACAAACCCCAGAGAGGGGCGGGGGTGGGAGGCCGGGGACAGACCAAGGCAGATACAGAGCAGGTACACAAACAGTTCACGCGTGTGTACACAGACACTCACAGCCCTCCTCTCCTCATTTCTCTGCCTCGACGCCCTTCATTTGCTGTTATTTTAGCTGCATGCACTGTACATGCCATTGCGAGCTGCTAGGTGTCCTTGGGGGACAAATGTGAGCGGGAAAAGCACTTATGTAGACATACGTAAAATCTCTTTCTTCTTATTTTTAGTAAGCCACAACACTCGCAAAAGCCCCACTCCCTGTCTGTGGCAGGGCAGGGTCGTGGGTGCCATTTGCTTCGGACCCTGCCCGGGGACGGATGCTCCGGCCGCCTGCGGGCAGCTTCCAGGCGAACGCCCTCCCGGGGCTGGGGCTGCTCTCTGGAGTCCCAGGGCCAGGCTGAGCTGGACCCACAGGCCACGGGGCAGGCAGGGGGCAGTCGAGGCAGCACTGCCATCACCGTCACGCTCCCAGGCGCGAGTCGGCCCTCGCCGTCGGCACTGACACCTTCCATGGGAGCATCTCAGCTCTGTGAGGGACAAATGCACTTTTTCCTTGAAAAACACATTTTTAAAGCCTCGCCAGCAGTGTCTTTCCTCAGCTACCCAACGCTGAGGATTCTAAGAAGATGACAGGAAAAAAGAAAAGGGAAACTCTGCCATGAGGGCGGGTGGGGGCAGTGGGAAAGCAAATTCGCAGCGAGACCAGGTGCCGGCCACCACCGGAGGGGAGCGGAGCAGCCGTGACTCCAGCAGCCCCTGACGTGGGTGCCAAGTAGCCAGTGCTGTCATTGGTCCCCGTTTACCCAGACATGGGTCTGGGGACTTTCCACCCCCACTCGACTCTTCCTGGTCCTCGCCTGAAAGACCCGACAGCAGCGCTGGGGACACTGAGGGGACAGACGTGCCCCACCAAAGCCACGCAGACAGCCGCCCTTTCTTCCTTTCTCCACTTGTTCCTCAGCAAGTTCCCTGACAGCCTGCTCTGGGCCAGGTGTGGGGACAGGGGCCAGGTGTGGGGACAGGCGACAGGTGCCCAGGCGGGGAGCCCGTCTCTGAGCATGGGGGAGGCAGTCGTGACCACGTGACAGCTCAGTGGGACCTTGCCCTGTGGGAGGGGCTGTGGCTGCTGTGAGCCTGGCAGCGGAGTGTGACCTGCACCTTGGGGTCAGGCGGGAGGAAGTGACACCCGGCTGAAATTCAAGGGGGGCTGAAGTCCGCCTGCCCAGCAGAGGAGGTTTCGGGGGCAAAGAATATTCCAGGCAGGGGTCAGGTAGCCAGTGGGGGAGGGGGGAGGGACAGAACACTGTGCATGTCTCCCTCTGTCCATCCTCCTCTTCCTCACACAGAGACCCCACACTTAAAATAAGAGTTGATCAGACTTTTTTCTCTTATAAATAAATAAATAAGTAAATAAAGTAAGAGTTGAATTCAGCGGCTGACACTAAGGTGAGAAAACCCCTGGGTTTCACCCCATGGGGGCATTTGTGCCCAACAGAAGCTTGATGTAATGAAGGGACATTTCCAAGAAGAGAGGGGTCCCTTTGAAGCACCCTTCCTACTATGAAAACAGTTATTTCTGGGGAGGGAGGGCTGTCCCCAGGGACAAGGCTCAGAAAGGAACTCTGTGTGTATAGGAAGAAAAAGAAGGGCCCACCCGGAAGGGCAGGTTTGGCCTGGCTGAACCTCGGGAGGGGAGCCAGTCGGCCCGGGGGGCTCTGGCTCGCCTCTTGGAGGTCTCTAGTTTTTAAGCCCCCATATCAGGAGGGTACTGAGAGCTAGAGGACCCCTGACCTGGCAGGCGAGCTCCCATTCAGCCACTGAGAGAGGACAGGATGCCCAAGTAGGGGAGGTGGGAGGGGGGGTCACCAGGCCCCCAGGCTGGTCAGCAGCTGGGCTGGAGGTACCCAGATGATTGGAACCCCAGGCTGCCCTCCCCACCTGCCCACCCTAGGCTGACTCACCCTGCCCCCTTCTTCCCCCTGCTCCTTAGGGACAGCTGGGACACCTGCCCTCTCTAGCCCAGGTCCTCACGTCCTTCCTGGAGTTCTACCCCTCACCCCCACCACAAGGAAGATGCTGGACTTTGTGGACTGCTCAGAGGGATGGGGTTCAGCACTGTCTGGGCCCCCCTGCATTCTCTTCCTGCCTCTTTCTCTGACCTTCTCCACTGGCGGGTGCAGGCTCTGCGGGGTCTTCCTGCCTGTTCCCCATGGCCTCTAGAACTCAGCTACACATGGCTCTAGCCCCAGTTTTAGTCAGGTCGGCTTCTCCACCGTGAGAGTGCTCTGCCTGCAGGGCACTGAGTGGCCAGAAGGAAGGGGTAGGGACAGCTGGTGTCCTGGAGCCGGGACAGGCTGGGTCTGAGACCTGGGCTGGGCCCCTCTCCTCCAGCAGGTGTCCTTAGATCCAAGAGGTTGGAAAGGTCCTTTCTGGATTCTAAAGAACCCCTAGTGTGTGGTCATGGGGTGTACAGAAAGAGGGAACACCGTTTTTTCTGTATATGGGCCCAGTCTCTCTTTTAGGAAGAGGACTCCTGAGCCCAACCATTTACTAACCTCCTTCTCCATCTTTCTGCCCTCCAGCCCAGCTCCTCCAAATGCAAATAGCTAAAACAGGACACGGCCCCCAAGTCATCCTATCACACCTCCCTAGGATGTGTTCACCTGGCCATTTTTTTTTTTTTATTTTTTTTTGAGACAGGGTCTCGCTGTTACCAGGGCTAGAGTGCAATGGCATCATCACAGCTCACTGTAACCTCTAACTCCAGGGCTCCAGCAATCCTCCTTCCTCAGCTTCCTGAGTAGCTGGGACTACAGGCAGCACACCACCACACCTGGCTAATTCTTCTATTTGTTTGTAGAGACCAGGGTCTCGCTCTTGCTCAGGCTGGTCTCGAACTCCTGGCCTCAAGCAATCCTCCCAGCTCCACCTCCCAAAGTGCTAGGATTATAGGTGTGAGCCACTGTACCTGGCCTCTGGCCATTCTTAAAACTAGTCCCTTGGGCATGTTTATGAGTGTCCTCTTTTTCTGGTCTGAGCACAGATGGCTATCAGGTAGTAGGTCCCTTCCCTCTGGGTTACCAGGTATGGCAGCTGTGGGGCACCCACCCCCAGAGCCCACTGGTGGAGCTGGGGACAAAGCCTTGTGACATGCCCACGCCTACCTGGTGGCGTCTCCACTGCCGGGGTCCTGGGGCGCCTCCCTTGGCTGGCTGGGAGCCCCCATGGGGGGCAGGCGAGGCTCTTCCTGACATCCTGCTGGCAACCACTCTCCCAGCTTGGCGTCCATGGCTGCTGGGGAGGAGAGAGAGTTCAGCCCACGTCTGCTCTGGAGCCTCTCTCAGGATGCTCTTTCCTGGGCTGGGCCGTGAAGCCAAGAAAAGCACGCACCCCAGGCCAGTCCCCGCCATCTCCCTGGCGCCTGTGGCTGGGGGACTTGTTTACTGTCGTGCAGCCCAGGAACTTGCCGGGCAGGGGGCGCAGCACAGGGAGGCGCAGACCACCCTCCGCCCCGCCCAGCCTCCCTGGCTCCTCTCAGCCGTGTTCTCAGCCACAGAACATGGAACTGTCTCCCTGGGCCACCGCTGGGCACCTCCACATGAGCACGAGTCGCACTTGTTTATCCGAAACTTGAAAGCAACTGGATGTCTGGCAGTTGAATTTGCTAAATCCAACAACCCCAAGAGGTGGGGCTCTCCTCTCTGAGTCGCCCGAGGCTCCTGCAGGCTGAACCCCTGGGCGCACCCAAGCTCGGGGTGCCCTCACCCCACGCAGAGCTCTGTCGCCGAGCCTGGGCCCTTCCGGGGGAGCGGATGGAGCGCCCCGACAGCGGCTGGGAACGTGGCGCAGGCCTGTGTCTGTGCCTCAGATGCCATGTGCCCCTTTCTGCAGCCCACCTCTCCCCTCGTTCTGCCGCCAAAGGGGTCCCTGTCACCGTAGAAGTATGGGACAGAGTCTGGATTCACTGCTCCCTTAGTCCAAGCTCCTCTCGGCTCTTTCATTTTAGATATATCTCTGCTACCTTTGCAATGCAACCTCTGTTTTGTCTTAAATATAGAGGAATCTTCCCGGCAGGTTTCCCTAAACCCATAGCAAGAAGTTTTGGCAGTTCTCTTTTGACCCAAACAATAATCTATTTCTGACATGGAACCCAACGGGTGGCAGGACAGTCTCTACCTGGGCCTGGGGCTTGAGCTAGCATTTCAGGACAGCTGTCCTTGTCTGTGCTGTCTGCTCAGGGGGCTTATACTGGGGCCCAGGAGACAACACGCAGGAATCTAAAATAATGCTTGAGAGGGACACAAGTGCTGGGACACACACAGGGACCCATCCCAGCTCCGGGGGTTATGAAACTGGCACCAGGGCAGGCAAGTCCTCCAGGACCAGGGACTTCCCAGGGCAGGTGAGGGTGGGACGGGGTGGCCAGGAGAGAGAAGGAACTTGCCTCTGAGGTCATCTTGGTTCAGTCACCCTCTCCCTGTCCCCTGCCCACCACAGGCAGACTTTCAGAGGCCTCTCCAAGGAGCCAGGCCAGGATCAGGGCTGTGGGCGCCCTGGGGCTGATCTGGGAGCCCATTTAGACCGGGCTGGGCTTTTCCACTCCTGGATCTAGAAAATCAGGAGGCATGTGATTTTGATCTTCAAGATAGTCTTGGTTGATGGGGAAATGAGAATAGCTTTCCTCAGGCCAAAGTCTTGCCAAATTCTAAGCCCTATTCCTGGCCTTTTCGCTTGGGGACTATTTCCTCCTGGCTCTGCAGGGCTGAGTCCTTTGTGAAAAACAATATACCTTCTGGCCCTGCACCCCTGATTGAGCAGTTTGAGGATCCCACAGGCTCCTCATCACAAGTCCCCCCACAGCTGGTGCCAGGGGTCCTGCGGAAGAAACGCCGAGTGGAGGCGGTGGTTGCCAGGGTCTCTGATGGGGCGGCAAGGAGGCCTGTGGGCAGCAGCTTTGTGGGGCCCAAACTGGGGGCCTGAGCTGGCTGGGCGGGGTGAGCGAGAGAATGAGAGAACGGAGCAAGGGGAGTGTGGAAGGCATGGGATAGAAGGCCGTGTGGCCCAGGGTGCCGCCACCCATCCCACCGCTGCCCCCTCCCTCCCTCTGCTGAGCCCAGACAGGGCACCTGGTGGAGGCCTGTTTGCCATCGTTCCTTGTCCCTCGGACAGAGGCGGTGAGAGGAGGGAGAGGGGTCAGGGAGGCCAACTCGGGAGATAGTAGCCGGCCACGGCCACCAGTGAGCAAGGCCGAGGGTGGCTATGGACTGGCCCATCTGAGGCGTAGAAGGACGAACAGAATCTGCTCCAAGCATGGGCTAAGGCTGGCTGAATGATCTAGAAAGACTTAACCTGGAGGCTTGGTTTCTCCAAAGGGAGAACTTTTGTCAGGTCAAAGGATTTTCAAGGACTAAGAGTGCTGGCCTGAGGCTCAGAGCAACCTGGCAGGTGGGGGAGGGCAGGGCCCAGGGTTAGGGTCCTGGGTCTCGGCCGGGCTGAGCCAACAGGAGCCGGAGCGAGGAAGGGTCACTTGGACTACGGTCTCGGTGTTCAAGCTGGCTAACAGGGCGCACCCACACTGAGATTTGGGAAGGGCGCTGTCCTGGCTCCTGCTCCCCCAGCCTGGGTTACAGGGAGAGGCACTGGCAACAGCTTGTGACCTCCAAGGCTGAGTCCCCAATGAGTGCCCACCCAGTTCATGCAAGGAGCCAGACTTTGCCGGGCCCCGGACTTTGTCAGGGCTAACATCAATTGTTCTTGAAAGAACACCAACATCAATATTGCCAGCAAGAGCAGCTGCCACTACTCGGCCATTTCTATCCATGACAACCTCAATGCCTCCACCCTACAGGTAATGGCCCCATGAAGCTTTCCCAAGGATACGCCCACGCCCACACCCAGGACAGAGAGAAGGAGCCACGCTGGTGGCCATTTTGGTGAAGCAAAGATGTCACTGCTAGGTTATCCTGAACGCAATGCGGACTACGCTTTAGGAAGTCTGGGCTGCAGAACTTAAGATCATTTCTAAGTCAACGGCATTTGGTCAAACTGGCAAAAATAGTTTAGATCACCAAGACCTCCACCGTGGCAGCAGAAATCTCTAGATATATTATTGAGCTGCTCACCTGTTAGTGAAGGGATATTAATATTTATAGCTCTAATAAAACCCACGTAAAATAACTGATGATCAAAGTTGGTAAAAACCTCTGAAACTGGCCACAATGAAGAGACCCTCGCTGAGTCCCAAGTAACCTGGCCCTGGCTCTCTGTAGCCGCCTGCTGCTCTGAACCTGGGCTTGGAAGCGTTTGGATCCAATTGTGAGCAGATTATACGAGTTCTCAGATGTTTCTCATGCTGGAATCTGACCCGCTGCTCTGTTGTTTTTCCTATTTGAATGGAAATTAGAGTCTTATCTGGCCTGCTCATAATCCTTTTAATTTCCTTTCAAAAATTAAAAAAAAATACTTCGTACATTTCTGATTCAAAGGATATATATTTTTTCTGGCATCTAAAAAATACTTTTATCTCCCATCAGTCTCTGGTTAACTCGACGGGATGTTTCAAAACGCATTTTGGGTCTGAGCTGTATGTGCCCCTGGTCCCACATTTCTGACTCGGCCCAGCCTTCCAGAAGAACACACGGCCGACCCCAGGCCCAGAGTTTGAGGTATGAGGACCTTGGTCATCGATCTCCATCATCCTGAGGTTCCTCCTCCTAAGGTTTGCATTAACCCAGCTTTCCCGAGTCAGAGATCTTGCCCGGTAGCTCCCAGACGTGGGCGGCAGGCAGCGCTCTGAGCAGGGGCCTGTAGGGCAAGCCAGCGTCGGGCCTGGCCGTGGGCTCGGGGCCTGTGAGTCTGTGACTCGGGCTGTGCTCAGACCAGAGAGCCTCCCCGGAGCGGGCACGTGTCTGCAACTCCGGCTGCTTCACAGGCATTCTAGACATCACCAGTCCCAGAACCGCCCGGCTGGCCGCCCAGGTTCTTACGTGAGGAGGAAACGCAGGCCTCCGGGGCGCCGGGCTTGCCCTCGTAGACTGCCCGCTGGGCGCCGGGCGGGGCGCGCGGGCGGCCGTTTCTGGCGCGTCGGGCCGTCTGGGGAGCAATGAGATGGTCTTCCAGCCTGGAGGAAAACATGAAAAACAGCAGTAAATATAGATTGCCAGGAGATAAGTGACTGCTGGCTGTCACGAAGCATCACAAACACAGGAGGTAGCCGTGCCTGAAATTCTTTTGTTAAGCCGATTTTAGGAGATATTAAAATTTTTTAGGCTAGCCGTGGTGGCTCGCCCCTGTAATCCTAGTGCTTGGGGAGGCCAAGGTGGGAGGAGCCCATGAGTTCGAGAACACCTTGGGCTACATTGTGAGACCTTATCTTTACAAAAAAATAGAACAATTATCCAGGAGTGGTGGCATGTGCCTGTCATCTCAGCCACTTGGGAGGCTGAGGTGGGAGATCTCATGAGCCCAGGAGTTGGAAGTTACAGTGAGCTATGATCACGCCACTCACTGTCCTCCAGCCTGGGCGACAGAGTGAGACCCTGTCTCAAAAATAAATAATTAATTTAATTAACCATTTTAAGGGTACTGGCGGAAACTGAGAGGCTGACCTTGTGAAGTAGTAGCCTTACTTCACCTTTGTGCATTCACAGTGACACGAGGCTTAGTATGTTTCTAACACACGCTTATGTCATATGGCTTTGGGTGACCCAGGACCATGACATTTCAACCAAACAACATAAGGCACACATCTCATTTTTTCCAAGGATGAAGCAGATGAATGAAGGGATGAATCCAGTCGGAGAAGACAATGTATTGTCATGTTAGCATGGCAAGAGCCGGGCAAGAACCAGACTTGGGAAGGGTTTATTTTCTTATAACGCTGCCTAAATGGATGCATGTGGAACGAGGCCTTTGCGTGGCCCAACGTGGCACCCGAGCCGGTGGAGACTCATTTGTCCAGGAGATAAGCATTGGGGCCAGGACTGAGAGACAGCGGCCTGGGCAACTCACGGCTGGCGCAGGCAGGGATTTGGGCAGGTCCTCAGGGCAGCCTTGATGACAGTCCCCGAGGAAGGCTCTCCAGTTGTGCATATGGCAACAGGGCATTTGCTCCCCTTTCAACAAGGAGCCGTTAGCCACCTACTCCGGGAAGGGCTTGGTTGGGGACACATGACGACAAGCACGTGCCTGTCTAGGGTCGGGCCCTGCAAAATGGCTGTTCTTGAATGTCAATTTCATATGGTTCAACCAATAGTAAAGACAGGGAGGCCGGGTGCGGTGGCTCACGCCTGTAATCCTAGCACCCTGGGAGGCCGAGGCAGGAGGATTGCTTGAGGTCAGGAGACCGAGACCAGCCTGAATAAGAGTGAGACCCCATCTCTACTAAAAATAGAAAGAAATGATCTGGACAACTAAAAATATATAGAAAAAATTAGCCGGGCACGGTGGCGCATGCCTGTAGTCCCAGCTGCTCGGGAGGCTGAGGCAGAAAGATAGCTTAAGCCCCCAGGAGTTTGAGGTTGCTGTGAGCGAGGCTGACGCCGTGGCACTCACTCTAGCCTGGGCAACAGAGTGAGACTGTCTCAAAAAAAAAAAAAAAGACAAGGAGACACTTAACCATGCTGAGGGTCAGGGAAGGCTTCCCAAGGTGGGCACTGAGCCCTGAACTCTGAGATGGAGTTTGCCAGGGGCCAGAGGAGGGGAAGTTTTCCAGCAGAGGTTTAACACTATGAGCAAGGGGAAGAGGATAAAAAGATGTGTGTGTGTGTACAGTGTACGTATTTATGCTGCATTGTTACACAAAGATTTTTTTTTTTTTTAATTTTATTTTTTTTTTTGGAGACAGAGTCTCACTTTGTCGTCCAGGCTAGAGTGAGTGCCGTGGCGTCAGCCTAGCTCACAGCAACCTCAAACTCCTGGGCTCAAGCGATCCTTCTGCCTCAGCCTCCCAAGTAGCTGGGACTACAGGCATGCGCCACCATGCCCGGCTAATTTTTTATATATATATCAGTTGGCCAATTAATTTCTTTCTATTTATAATAGAGACGGGGTCTCGCTCTTGCTCAGGCTGGTTTTGAACTCCTGACCTTGAGCAATCCACCCGCCTCGGCCTCCCAAGAGCTAGGATTACAGGCATGAGCCACCGCCGCCCGGCTGTTACACAAAGATTTAAGGCACAAGATGCAGATGACCTGTCTCCAGCCCACCTACAAGACAGCAGTGTGGAGGGGCAGGGTGTCCTGGGAAGCTCTGACCGCCGGGTGTGGGTCAACTGAGGAGGACGCTGTAGGCCAGGCCAGGGGTTTACACCTGATTCCCAGGGGACGTGGGGAGTCAAAGAAATGTCATTCCCTGCTGGAAAGATATTCTGTCCATAGTCATGGAGGGTGGACGGGGCCAGGGGGAACCTTTAGGAGGTGTCCCTGACTGGGAGAGAAAGATGTGGCTCAGGCAGAGCCCGCGGGCCTGTCTGGGGGTGTTTATGCCATGCGCTAGAAGACAGCCCTGTTGATCTAGAAAATGCTGAACTGGGTGCTGGGGGACACATCTGGGCTGTCATCCCAGACACATTTGGGTGTCATCCGTGTGTAGAGGAAACCAGAGAACAGGCAGGATGGGACGAGGGCCTTGGATGGATACAGCATTTTGGGAGGAGAAGGGGGGAGGGGGAGGGCCGGCGCACAGGGACTGGGGTGGGGCAGCTGCCAGGAGGTGGGCAGTGGCTACTACAAGGGTGGGTACATGGGCTTCAGTGTCCTCAGGGGCTGGAAACTGGAAGGTCACCTGACCTTGGCAGTGGTGTGCTCTGGAAGTCACTGCCTGCCTGGCTGCCTGCGCAGGGCTGTGGGGCTGTGGATGGGGAGGCGGCGGGGGCAGGGAAGCAGGCAGAGGGTGAGGGAAGCAGAGCCCTGGATGCTGAGAGGCCTGAGGAAGGCGGGAGGGGAGGGGGAAGACAGAGCAAGGAGGGGTTCAGTGAGGAGACAGAGATGGGGGGGCAGGGACCTGGAACCCATGGAGGGGTAGGTTCGTGTGGGAAGGAAACGCCAGGGAGGCGCAGTGACACCGGGCTGAGGGAGGGTGGCAGGGCCCCCTGCACAGGGCAAGTGTCTTGGTGTTTACCTGCAACCTTTCTTTTCTTGATTATAAAGCTGGTAAGTGTTTATCATTAAAAATTAGGTAATTATATAGAATGACCTGCCCTCCCAATACCTGAGCATGACCACCTAACATTGATATCTTTTACATCTTTTTAAAAATGCAAATATATACTTAAAAAATACTAACTTGGAATCACTATAAGTAGGCAGCATGGCTATATTCATACCACTTTATAATGCCCTTTTTCACTTAGTAATATGTTGTGAGGCTCTTCCCATGTCATTAAATATTCCTCTAAAACATTTTCAATACTGTTTTGTATGGATATACCATAATTTATGTAACCAGCCTGCTACTCTGGGCATGTAATTTCTGGTTTTATAAATAACATTGCAATAAATACTCTTATATATGTATCTGTGAACATTTGATTACTTCTCAGTATAAAATCCTAACAGTGAAATTACTGACTCCGAAAGTACTACTATCTTAAATGTGTGCAATACATATTGTCCCCAAGAGCGCTCAGATTCTAGATTTATCTACATTCCTGGCATGTGGGTTACCTAAGGATGTTGGTTGTAAGTAGTGAGTCATACAAGCTTTTTGTTGTTGTTGGGAATAGTTATGTAATTTATGTACTAAGTTGTTCATCAAACAAATAACTCCAAATTAGTATAAACAAATGTCAAAAATAGCAGAATGGCTAAATAAATTGTGGTATGTCAATATAATATAAATCATTAAATCACCTTTCAAAGGATGTTTAATAATGCAACAGAAAGCTAATTGAAATCAAACAAACAACATATACATGCACACAAACACTAGAAAGTTTCTATTTTTCTAAAAATATTTGTAGATAAAAACTAAATACTAAAACTAAATGTAATACACTAAAATGATCATTGTAATTCTCTCTGGCTATTAGAATAAATAATTTTTATTTTCTTTATGTTTATTGAATACATTAATTAGAATGTTTGGAGCTAAAAGTAAAAAAAAAAAATTCAACTCAACTGGCTTAAACCATAAGGGAAATGTATTATCTAACGTAAAGAGAATTCCAGAGGTAGGGCAGTGACAGGGTGGTGAATTCCAGCCTGAAGGACTTCACTACTGATCCAGGTTCTCTCCATTGGGTGACTCTACTCCTGCGGTTTTGCTTTTGTTCTTAGGATTTTCACTTTGTGTAAAGAGGATGATTGCAGTATCTCCAAGCATCCCAAACAATATTCAAAGAAAGGGGGAAAAGAAAGGATATTCTTTTCTCAAGCCCTTCATAAAAATAAGGAAAACCTCAGATTCCATGGTCAGAATGAACTGCACACCCATTTTAAAAATCATCATTGACAAGAGGAATTACATTTAAAATACTGTCCTAAGTTAATCAAATCCAACCCACAGGGTTGAGAAGGTATCCTAACCTTCCCTGAAGAACATGCCCACCCAATACCTCAAACCTATCAGGTGTCTGTTAGCAAGGAATAGTATCAAACAAGACTTACATAAATGGGGCATTATTCTATACTTATGCTCAGGGTGACTGTATTAGTTTCTTACTGCTGCTATTAACAAAGCACCACAATCTTAGAGACTTAAACCATCGCAAACTTATACTTTAGTTATGGAGGTCAGGCATTTAAAATGGGTCCACAGGGGTGCATTCCTTCTGGAGGCTCTAGCAGAGATTCCTTTTCTTGCCTTTTCCAGGTTCTTGAGGGTGTCTGCACTCCATGGCTCATGGCCCTGCCTCACTCTGACTTCTGATGCAACTGTCACTTCTTCTCTGTTTCTGACACTCCTGCTTCCCTTTTATAAAGACCCTTGTAATTACTTTGGGCCCAACCGGATAATTATGGATAATCTCTCCATTTCTAGATCCTTAACTTAATCACATCAGCAAAGTCCCACATAAGGTAACTTAGTCACAGGCTGTGGGGACTGAGATGTGGACATCTTTGAGGGACGTTATTCTGTCTTAACACACGGAATTTACACGACCTAACACTGCATGCTGACTTAACAATGCAAAGATAGCGATTATCTCTAAAATGTTATGTCAATTTGCTGCAATACCAATCAAAATCCTAGAAGGATTTTTTTTAAGGAAGGCAGCAGACATCTTTTTAAATGAATATGGAAAAATAAAGGTCTATTCATAGCTAAATGATCTCTGAAAAAGAAGGCCGAAGGAGCGGTGGATTACCCTGTGCAGTGTTTAGATACGCTAAACGCCTCTCTGCGATGAACACTGGTGTGGGAATAGGCAACTAGACAGTGTTTCAAAGTAGAAAACTTGGAAAACTGGAAGCGGATATATAATTAGTGGCAGCACAAATCAGTGGCAAGAACACAAACTGTTTATAGGTGGTACAGAGACCAGCTCTCTCCGTGGAGGAAAGTAAGCCAGGAATCCTGTCCTAGGTCACATAGAGGACACGCCCTTGACTTTGGGGGGACACTGTCCAAGACTCCCATTGTGCAAACTTTTTAGAGGTGACTTCCCAACGTGGAGGCAAAACTATAAATCCTGAAAGCTAACGTTCCTTGGCCCTGCAGAGCGCCCCTGCACTCCGTCCAGTACTGACCACGTCACACCGACTAGCTCTCCTTCCCCACCACACAGCTTGCTCTGTGGCCTTCTGAGGCTGGGAATCACAATTTTTTTTTTTTTTTGCATTCCCAGCAATTAGCATAGGAGCAATAAAAATGTTTGTTGAAACCACCCGATGGGTGCGGGGCAACTGTGTCATTATAGTGGGAAGGTCCGCAGTTTCAGGAAAATGAGGTGCCTCGTTATTTGGCAGGATTGCCACAGCCAGTAATCGCAATGAGACCATCTCCCAAATCAGGGAGAGCAAGATGTGCCCCGAGGCATGGAACAATGTAAAATTTCTCTCTACGAAGTAGAACATTTGACCCAAGAATTAACTGTGCCATCAATTAGATCTTACATTTATTAGACTATCTTTATCCTTATCTCTGATTAAAATGTCCTTGTGTCATTGTTGCTTCTCTGAGAAGCCAGGGTTTTAATTACCTTAAAAAATAATTTTAAACAATGACTCAGTGTCTTCTTTCCCATGTCAAGCAAGGTGAATTTCATTAGTTCCTGTCACTACCTTACATTCAAAAGATACTACATTTGTCAACTGGGTTGACTAGTAGTTGACACTAGGCTATATTCTGAATCAAAACAACACCAAATCCCTCAGATATAAATGACATTTGGGGGACTATTAGGGAATATTGATATATACTATATAGTATTGTTAATGTTAACATTCTTAGGTTTGATGTGCACATGTTAGAAAATGTTTCCATTCTTAGGAGATGCACGTTGAAAGTCTCCAACCTTCTTTTAGACAATTCAGCAAAAAAATATATATGCCTGTAACTTATACATTATGCACATAGGAGAGCAAGAGAGTGCATAAATGTTAATTATCAGAAGCTCTCTGTTATATTATTCTTTCAACTTTTCTGTAAATTAAAAAGTGCTGGGTGCAGGTTTAAGAGAGAAAAAGGCATGATACTAGATTGTATATCAGTAATCAAAAATAAAAACCTAGTGGCCAGGCACAGTGGTTCACACCTGTAATCCTAGCACTTTGGGAGGCCGAGGCGGGAGGATCACTTTGAGCTCAGAAGTTCAAGACCAGCCTGAGCAAGAGCGAGACCTCGTCTCTATTAAAAGTAGGAAAATTAGCGGGGTGGGTGGCTTGCACCTGTAGTCCCAGCTACTCAGGAGGCTGAGGCAGAAGGATTGCTTGAGCCCAGGAGTTTGAGGTTGTTGTGATTCACTTCTGATTTATAGGAGCTATAAATTTATAGGAGCTGATTTACAGGAGCTATTTATAGGAGCTAGGCTGATGCCACAGCACTCTAGCAAGGTGACAGAGGGAGACTGTCTCAAAAACAAAAAAAAATCTAAACCATACCAAATCAAAAAAAACAAAAAACAAAAAAAACCCTCTAGAAATATAAGCCTATCATAACTAATTATGAAATCAAATCAAACAGATCTCAGAGCACTGATCCATGGCACAGGCCTTGAAATACTTATAGGTCAAATCTCACATGGGCAGGAGACTTAGTGCTGGGCACAATGGTGGGACGGCATCCATGGCACTGATCCATGGCACAGGCCTTGAGATATTTACAGGTCAGATCCCAGACGGGCAAGAGCTAGGTGCCGGGCACACTGGCGGGACGGGCGTGGGGCTCCCTGAGGGCAGGCGTTGCTGTGTCTAACTTGTTGTTGAGTCCCCAGTGCCTGGCGGTTCATTACAAAATTATAATAGAGTAAAACTGGAAATAACCAAATTGCCCAGCTACAGGGAATAACTAAGTAAAAATTGGTATATCCACCTAAATACTACATACCGACTATTTGTTGAATGAATAAATGTAGGTCATTAGCTTGCTCTCTGTCATATTTCTCTGTAGTATTCTCTCTAGACAGAAAAAGAGAAGCCCCCAGACTATAGACGGGGCTCCTCTCCTGCCCACTGGACTACCCGACCTGGGGCTCCCCCACAGCCCACGGGGGCCCAGGAGCCCAGGCAGACACAGGCTCCGGGGAACCAGACTGAAGTTTTATTTCTGTAAATGGGGAAGGAGCTAGGTATGCAGAATAGGTTTGGCAGCTAAAACTGCATACAATTGCTTTAAAGAGTCACCTAATATAAATTGACTTGAAGTCTTAACTGTGACACTCCAGTCCCAACAAAGGGCCTGGTACCACAGTGAGAGGCTGCAGAATAGACATGACGGAAGCCCTTTCTGGGTAGAGTCACCATTCCTTTCTAGGCTTTCCTTTGAAATTACACGGGCCAACACTTGTCTTCTAAAGTGGCCCTGGAGATGCTGTAATCCAACCACTTCTCTTTCTGCAACAAGAAATCTAGGGGGAAGGAAAGAAGACTAAACACTCTTTCCCTCCAAAAATCCCAAAAAGATAAATAAAGAGAAAAATGCTTTTCAACATGAACACTTTATTTTGAACTTTTAAAATACATACATCTTATACTGCAGTTACTCAAAATGAAGCTTAAGAAAATAAATTCCCGCCTCCTTTAGCCCGGACTTACACTGGGTACCCGGTCCTGTGGCCCCCGGGGGTGACGGGCCGGCGCAGGGGCTCGTCCACGCTCCACTGCACACTGGCCAGCCCCTTCCGCCTCACCTTCCCCGTGTTGGTCATGATCTGGTGGAAGGAAGAGGAAATGAGGATCAAGAAATCATCTACTTGAGAGCAGACCATGAAGTCAAACTTAACAGTGACACACTGAATATATTAACCTAGAGTGATAAGAGGGCTTGCAAATCAATGAGCAAGGATCATGTCACAGGTATTCAGGCAAACGGAAATTTGAGGGGAAAATCCTTTTAGTTTGCATATTATACCATTTAGCAGCATAAATTTTCCAAAACATCAAACTGTAGGGAAAGGAAGAAAACAGTTGACTACGGTAACTTATCACATCTCTGCAAAGGACTGGACTTTTGAGAGTGAGGGGAAAAAGACAGAGATTTGGTGTCATAAGAAACGAACATTTCCACATTTGTAGTATATTAAAAATAAGCCATATCGACAGGCAAACAACAAACTGGGAAGAAACATTTGAAGCAAACTTAACAGATAAAAGATTAAAATTTTCATTAGATATGGAGCTCCTATAAATCAGAAGTGAAACACTAAATTGATAATTGGGCAAAGAATTCAAACGGCTGTGTCACAAAATAGAAAGTATTACCAGAAATAGAAGGAAAAATGATCAACTTTACTAGTATTAAGAAACTACAACTTTACAAAGAAGGTATCACTCTTCAACTATTATATGAATGACAATTAGGGACAATTAAAGAAATGCTCCCATCTATTGCTGGCAAGAATTTAAATGTTAGTGGCACTGAAATTTAAGAAAACTCTTTTGGAAAATGATTCGGCATTTTATATCAAGAGTCTTAAAAATGTTCATATTCTTGGGAGTAAATCCTAGTGAAAGAATCCAAAGCATGGAAAATGTTAAAATAAAACTAGATTGTTCATTATAAAATTATTACAGTAAAACTGGAACAATCTGTCTAGTATTAGGGGAATAATTAAGTAAAATATGGCATACTCATTTGACGTAATATGTGGCCAATTACATTGATAAAGAATAGAATAATATTTAAAACATTAATTAAAAATCAGCTTATAATGATGTACATAAGCAATACTTTCAATTATGCCAAAAGTACACAGAAAGTCTAGAAGGAAATGAACCCTAAAATGATTAGAGTGGCTATATAACATAGGACAGTAAAACTGAGAGTAATTTTTCTTTTCTACTTTTCAAGTTTTCTGTGATACAGTAATAATTATGTTGATGATTAAGAAAAAATTATTTAGAAAAGAAATCACTGTACAACTGGTGAGATCTGCATAAAGTCTGGACTGTACAGACGTCAACTTCCTGGTTTTGGTGTTATGCTACTGGTGGCGTAAGACGTCACCGCCGGGGAGACGGTGGAGGGTGCGTGGGAATTGTGGAAGTGTCTGCACTCCTTTCTTCAATCTATTTAAGGAGACATGAGATCATCAAATGTCTCCACTACTTTTGCAACTTCCTCTGAATCTATAAGTATTTCAAAATAAAAAGTAAAAAAAAAAAATTTTTTTGAAAATGGAAATTCTATTATTGATTTCTACTATAAAATTCTTTGGGTTTATCTGGTATTTGAGGTAGGTGGAGGGGAAAAAAGGGCCATTGCCTCTGGGAACCGGTGGGCCTCACCTGAGCCCTGGGACACTCACTCCCAGCCAGGGGGGTGGGCAGCTGAGGTCAAAACCTGCCTTGACTGGGGGCGGCGGATGGAAGGGAGGCCAGCAGGCAACGCAGGGCTTCTCCCCAGCCCGCGGCTAGCCCTCGCAGCCCTCCTCACGCCTTCCTGGAGCAGAGAGAACACACCACGTATTCTAGAGTGTTTCAGACCCTGTCAGCCATGCCATGTCCTCGAAACTTCAGAGGACTGGAACATAACTTAAGGTGGGTCTTCTTCCTGTCCAGTGCATGGGGAAACTGAGTCTGGCGCGTGGGCTGGCATTGTCTAGTTTGTCATGAAAATGCCTGAGCAAGGCCCTTGGTGAAGCAGGTTCAGTGCGCAGGCCCAGCAGTGCAGCTTCTGGCCCTTTTGGCTGGCCTCTGCCCACCAGCTCCTCTCTGGGCCCCTCAATTACAAAGGAGCCTTTTTGGGCTGGCAGGGCCTTAAAGCGCACCGCGTCCAACAACCTGAGGAGGCAGAGCTGTTTATACTGAGTTGTGCAGAAATGCTTCAGGGGCTTCAGGAGAGAGGAGAGAGAGGGTTCCTGGCATCCAATTCTACTCATCCAGAGGAACTGCGCTTCCATCTGTGTTACAGATAGAGATTTTGCTTGAAAGAAGGTTTTGCTATTGAAAATGCAGCATATTAAATCACAGTAAAATATGCAGGCCAGGTGCAGTGGGGCTCACACCTGTAACCTTCCCACTCTAGGACGCTGAGGCGGGTGGATTGCTTGAGCCTAGGAGCTGGAGATTGCAGTGAGCTATGATGATGCCACTGCACTCTAGCCCACATGAGCTAGACTCTGTCTAAAAAAAAAAGCCTGGGGTCCAACTCCCTCCCCCTAGGATTTTCAGCTGGACTGATAAGGCAGGACTCTCTGCTATCTGCCGCTGAGCCCATCCTAACTGATAAAGGAAGGGTAACAGAGACAATAGTGATTATCTCTGCCTGGGTAGAATTATGGTTGTTACTTTTAACTTTTAAGTAATAAGCATAGTTTTTTTGTAATTAGAAAAAAGAATAAGAGAAACAAATGGAAAAAGAAAAGGATTCAGAGCATTTTGGGGTTTGGGATTTTCTCTACTTGTTTAGTTGTGTTTTTGTGCACAAGAATATGGACATTGAGTTAGTTCCAACGAATCCCCACTATGTAGTGGGTACTGACTCTTCAACTATTACAGTCAGGCAGAACAGGAATAATTGAAACGTGATTAGGAAATGCCCCAAAGTAGAGGCTAATTTAAAAAAGAATCTAAAAGTAACAATTGGAAACCAAGGCCCTTCCTCCTCTGGTTTTGGTTTTTGCTGTGAACAGAGACATGCAGGAGGCCTTAGACCAGCTGCAAGGTGCCTCATGCTTCTGCCCCTAGGCAGAGTGGGACAGGGGACAGTAGGATCTCAGAGCCCAGCGTGTCTTCAGGTGCATGCCTGGGCCTGCTTCCAGTATAGGAGGGCTTTGGCCCTGCACCGTGACATGACACAAATGATAGGCTGGGTGAGTCTGTCTGTATAACACATGAGTTCTGTCTACGTGGGAAAGTTTCCATGGCCCAGACTCCTGCTTCAGAACCACTGAAGTGTAAAATAAAAATGCAGACTCCTGGAGGTAGGGCCAGGAACCTGCACTTTACCAAGCCCTTTAGGTGAATCTTAGGAAAACTAAATGAATGCGGGCGCCCTCACTTGACAGAAGGGGAAGAACATTGGAAAGGAGCAACTGGCATTCATAAAAGGCATCCCCTCAAAACAGAGTTTGTGTTTAACAAATAGATCAGATGGCTGGAGACCAGGAGTTCGAGATGACCCTGGGCAACATAGCAAGACCCTGTCTCTACAAAACAAATAGAAAAATTAGCTAGGTGTGGTGGCATACACCTGTAGTCCCAGCTACTTGGGAGGCTGAGGCAGGAGGGTCACCTGAGCCTAGGAGTTCGAGATCACAATGAGCTACGATTATGCCCCTGTGCTCAGCCTAGGTGACAGAGTGAGACCCTGCCTCTAAAAAAAATAGATCATTTAGTAATTATGAACACTTCACACAGTTGGAGCTCTCAACTTTCAAATGCAGAATCCACTTCCCCTGAAGTCACCAGTGCTGCTGGAAGGCAGCCCGGCTTGGTGGGAAAGGGCCTGCGAGCCCCAGTAACACTGGGGAAAGCTACTCAACCTCTCCAGCCGTGGCCTTCTCATCTACGAATGCAGATACTAGTAGGATTTGCCCCCTAAGTGTGTTGGGATGATTAAGTTAACTGGAATCGGACACGTGAGCAGTCTGCACAGGGCTTGGTCTGTGGCCATGTGCCTGATTAATATAAGACCTGCCTATTTCTGTTGTTAAAAGTCACTTTAAAATAAATAGAAAAAACTGAGATTCTATTCTAAATATCTACATCCCTTTAACCCAAGTGATGAAGTTATTTAAATCAGGGCATTATATTTAGGAGGAACTGTTGGTCACACAGCACAGAATGGATGGCACTAGGAAAGGCATGAAGACTCAAGGCAGGAGAAGCAGGAGGTGAGTATCAGTCTGGAGCAGCTGACGTTCACAGCCTAAAGAAGAGTCTAGCACGCAGTGCCACCAGAATTATGGGTAGATGACACATTCCATGTGCCCACTGCCACTCTCCTGCAAGCCTAGGAAGAGTGGCTTGCTCTCTTGTCACTGGCTTTCTGAGTTCTCCATGGTCTCCAGCATTTTGCTCGGCCTGGGCTCCGCAGTGCGGAGGAGCTACGTGTGTAGACTCGGAGGGCGAGGACGGGCAGCGCGGCCCTGCAGAGAAGGCGATGGGAACGCCCAGCAGGGGCGAGCTACTGGGTCCAGGATCCTGGGGACAGTTTCCTCCACACCCGAACAGCCAGGAGGGCTGCTCCAGCTGTACCTCCACCCTCACCCTCAAGCTGGTTAGTTCTGAAATCACAGGTGTGTACAACAACCGAGTCGTGGGATCGTGGTCAGAAGGTCTGGGGCGGGGCCGAGACTCTGGGTTTAACCCACATTCGGGGGTCTGGGACTCACTCCGGCTCCTGCCAGCCCACTGACCACGCCCAGCTGTCGCTGACACCACTCCGCAAGAGGGCTCTTATCTGTTTTGTGCTTTCTCTTGTCAACTTCTTGAAGGTAATAGCTGTCTCTTCAGCTTCTACGATATTCTGTTGTGTTAGGCAAATGGCACAGGTTCAATAAAAATTTTTCAAATACAATTTTCTGATAGAATGTTTCAAAAGCAGTATCTTTAGACTCATCTTGAAAACTCTGCAACGTTTCCAGAACTCCAGCAAGAGAGGCCGAGCCCGAGTTTCAGGCGCATATTCCCAGTGGAGCGTCTTCTGTCTTGGTCAGATTTCCTCATTTGGCACACACAAAGAAGTTACAAAGATGTGAACTTCAAGGCCAGCGTGGCAAGGTGAGACCCCCTCTTTGGAAACCCCTGACCCAGCACACAGGGCTGGCAGGCTGGCAATTTCAGGTCATGAGATTAGGATCGAGGAGGCGAAGGCAGTGCCGGGGGCGCGCATCCGACCTCAGCGTCGGTGTCAAGCTTTCTTTTTTTTTTTTTAAAATTCACCATGAATACCTGCTCAGGTGTCAAGCTTTCTAATGAAACTTACAATGTTTACCAGACCCTGTGCGGCCTGGTGCAGTGCACTGAATGGCGGCCCCCAAAAGATTGTCCACATCCTGACCCTGGAACCTGTGAATGTGACCTTATTTGGAAAACAGTCTTTGTAGATTTAATTAAGGATCCCTGTGATGAAGAGATCATCCTGGGCTATCCAGACAGGCCCTAAATCTAGTGACAAGTGTCTTGACAAAGGACAGAAGAGGAGAACACCGAGAGAAGAGAAGCCACATGCAGGCAAGACAGAGATCGAAGTGCTGCAGCCACAAGCCAAGGATGCCTGGAGCCAGCGGCCGCCGGGAGAGGCAGGAGGGATTCTCCCCTTCTAGAGTCTCTGGAGGGAGCACAGCCCTGCCGACAACTCTGCCAAAATCAAGAGATTTTGGGTTCTCTAAAACTGCGAGAAAATAAGTTTCTGTTGTTTTAAGCCCCAGTTTGTGGTCTTTGTTACGGAGCCGCGGGAGACGAAGGCACTGGGCCGGCTGTCCTGGCTGTGCAGCGCTGCCGCCGTCTGCGCTGCCTTCTCACAGCTCACGTCTCCAGCCAACAGCCCGGCACCACTGGACAAGCAGGCACGCGTGCAGTTTCTCTTACATTAGATCAAAACTGTTTCCGATGGTGAACGGATCGCACGTATGCGTCCAGGAGGTTTAGAACTGCCCATTACGGGAAGATGATGCCATTTCAGATGGCATCACACCAGGGTTACTGACGGATTTGAGAGCACTGTCCCCTTGTGCCTCACCAGTTTGCATGATTAAACTTTCGTCGTTGTTGTTAAAAATCTTTCCGCTACCAACAGAAGGCCTCATCTGCAGCACGTCACCGCACCGTGTAGGGGTGCCATACATGATCTACCAACGGCTGATTCAGGGTTGTGTCCCACCCGGCTGCAAATGACCATCCTTGCGGACGTCTCCGTGCGTGCATGGCTGTGTCTGGGACTGTGAGGCAGGGGCACACGCACCGCAGGCTCGAGACATCACCGCTGCTCTCCCCAGGAGCCCCGCCCACCTGCCCCCTCTGCTCTCATCGCCTGCCCATGAAGCAGAGCGTCTTGCAGATGCTTCTGTCCTGTCAAACGGAGCACAATCTCTCTGACAAAGCCAGCCTTCTTCTAATGGGAAACAAAGGCCTAGTCATGGCTGGAGATGTCCATCAACAGCCTGGAACCTTGGACTGCCTCACTTCTGACATTTACGGCACTCCCCACTTGATCTAATGAAAACAGAGCCTCCACGGTCCATTAGGCCCCTCTGATCCTTGAGACTTGCTAAGGACAATGGCAGGGTCCTGCCCAGCAGCCCTGTTCATGGCTGGGGGTAGCTGTGGTTCCCCGCCCCATACCCCTTCCTTCTCTTGCTCCTACAGTCTATTCTCTGCAAAGCAGCCAGAGTGAAAATGTGTGTTTATATTAAAACATAAGTCAAACCAAGTCACTGCCTGGTTCTCAACCTCCTGTGGGTTTCCTAGCTCTTGTAGAGTAAGATCCACAAAGCCCCACAATCTTTCCTTTGGCTGTCCCTCCAACCTCAAGTTCCACCAGCATGTACTGCCCTCCAGCCCAGAGCCCCTGGAAGTTCATAGATGATGAGGAAGGAACGAGGGCCAGGTGACCAGGGGCCCAATGTCTAGGGCATGTGGGAGGGCCTGGCTGGAGGTGGCAATGGGAACAGGCAGGTGTGTTCTGCTGCCACCTGCTCCCATAAAGGCTCAGGCCACCCACACACACCATCTTCCTCCTTCCCAAGTCTCCACTTCGCCAGTCAATTGTTGAGAGAGAGACTGGCTCCCTCCACCCCTCCCATATCAGCCTACCTAATTAGATTTTGAGGTCCATGTTACTGACCCAGCTTCAGCTGCCAGCTTCAAAGCTCTAGGGGCCCCTTTCCATGACCATGACCTTTACATTGTGTGCCTGACGAAGGGCTTCAGCCTAGGTGGGGCCTCAGCCTTTGCAATTGCCCCTCCCTTCCAAAACCTTACACGCCAGCACCCGTCTGCCCGTCACAAGACACCTGCAAGGCCCTGGCACTGCCACCCTCTCCTGGGCGAGCGGCGGCTCCCTCCTGACTCACGCCCTGCCCTGTATAACTGGTGGGTCATAATCCAGGGGCTCTCAGTTCTCCTCAGGTCCCCCTGACTGTTCTCGGGGACCCCCTTCCTTCTCGCCCTCCTGACATGCTGGAACACCGCTCTGTGCTCAGCCCCTCCCTCTCTCCGTCTCCACACTCCGCTGCCTTGGGCAACCTCATGGGTTCGGTGGTTTCAGCTACCCTTCCTGTGCTGGTGACTTCCAAACCTATCACACCCTCCCTTCTGGCAGACAAGGCACACGACACTACACAGCGGCGGGCAGGTGCTTATTCCCCAGGCCAGGCACACCTTCAGATGCTACGCGGCTCTCGACGCACGCCTGCTGGTTGTATTTCCCACAACCTCCTTCGTACACCTGCAGCTCTCTCTGGGACAGGTGGCTAGGGCCACCGAGAGCAAATTGGCTACCACAAGCCTTCTCATAAACACGTCCATCAATGTCCATCTAGCCTCTCTATGTCAGGACCCCCCTTCACGTGGCACTTACTCCCAGGTACTCCGTGGTCAGAAGCTTCTCGCCTGAGAGTTCTCCAAGCTGGGGCTGGATCAGTTCGTCTTTGTCCAGGTCAGCTTCCATGGTGTCATGGTCCTCCTGTTTCAAAGGAGACATGGGGTAAATATTCTGGATACCCTGCCACAAGCTCCCTGGTGGCAGCTCCCACCAGGGAGTGCAGCTGCCATGGAACAAGAAGTCCTCAGTTGACCATAGCAACTCGCAGGCTTATGGTCCAAGGGTCTCAGGGCAGCCAGCCCTTTGCTCACAACCTCTCTGTGAAGATGAAAGGAGGATGCCACCAAACCCGTCCTTGAAGCTGGGTGCCTAGGGAACACTTCCTGGCTATAGATGTGTGGAGGTTCCGTAACACTCTTAAGTCTCTCCTATTCACAGTTCTCAGAATTCTCTCTCTGAGGTGAAGGTACCACATGAACAGCCAAATCAGTCAGCCTACCAATAACTATTAAATATTAAGCACCTTCACATGCACAGGAACACAGGAAACCATCTATGATAGGTTTGTTCTTCTCAAGTAGTTGACAGTCACTGAGTAATAAGGCTCAGCAAAAAGGGAAGCATTGTTCTGCTTGCAGGAAGACGGAGTGGATGTGCCTTCCCCGTTCCTCTAAGTACAGCTGAAAACACTGGACACTCCCTGCTAAATAAATATAAGACGATCCTGAAAGATGCAGAAAAGAAGGCAGACCAGCTAGGGATGTTGGGACTCAAGGAACAAGGAATGGGACGGATGGTGAGTTGTGCCACCTATGCTAGACTTGGAGCCGAAGAAGCCAGCAACCTAGAAATGTCAACGACGAAGACAAAAAAAGTCCCCCGAAAGCCTGATTCCTCTAGCCAAAGGACCAGGAAAGGGGGAGCCAAGCAGGACAGAAAAATTTTTAAAAAATAACTAAACAGCACAGAAAACATCGTAACCCCTCCCAACCCTGCCAGCAAGGGCCCTGGGAACCTTGGCTTCTGCCCTCAGGAGGTCATGATGAGGCGCACAACACCCCCAGGTGGTGACACCAGAGAAGACCGATAGGGAGAAATCCCATCCCCCATGGGTGGTACCGAGGCCCGTCCTGGTGTGAGTAGAGACGGTGTGGGAGCCGGACTGCTACCTCACAGGGCAGTGTCCACGCCGCCCCCACCGGGTGGTGTCAGAAAAGGCCGAGCGGGGAGCCGTGAGCCGTGAGCAGGCGTCCCTATCATTCTAGTCAGGGAGGCGCGAGTGCAGGCCAGTGGGGTCCAGAACTCTCCACCTGCCCTGCAGTAATGAGGAACCTCTCCCAGTCTGGTGTCAACAGCGCCACTGTGGAACCGGGAGTTCTATTCATACACCTCTGTATTCACACACCTCTGTATTCACACACCTCTGTATTCACACACCTCTGTATTCACACACCTCTGTATTGAAGGGTAAGGAAGGACAATCTTAAACTGTATGAAAATAGATCCTCAGTAGATGACAGAGATGTTAGAATTACCTGACATAGATTTTAAAGCAGCCATCATAAAAATGCTTCATCTTAAAACAAATTAAAAAATAGAAAGTTTCAAGAACACAGAAAAAGGAGAGAAAAACAAACCCAAAGCAAGCAAAAGGAAGGGGAAAACAAAAACAGCAGAATCAATGAAAAGGAAAACAGAAAAACAATGGAAAAAAATTCATGAAACAAAGAGCTGGTTCTTTGGAAAAGATCAACAAAATTGGCAAACCTCTAGCACGACTGCCATGAAAAAGACAGAAATCACAAACTACCAACAGCAGGAATGAAACAGGAAACATCATGCAGACACTGCAGACATCAAAAGGATAATAACGAACAGCTACGAACAGCTCTACACATATAAGTTTGATACCTTGGGTGGAAAACCAAACCATCACAAGCCCCTCAGCAGAAGAAACAATGTGAATAGCCCTATAACTATTAAAGAAATTATATTCATAATCTTAAAACTCCCATAAAAGTAATCTCTGGGCCCATATGGTTTCACTGGAGAATTCTATCAAACTTTTAAAGAAGTGACACCAATTCAGAAAAGAGAAGAGGGAAGAACTCTTCCTTATTCATGTGATGAAGTTAGTATTACTCTGGTACCAAAACCAGACAAAGACACTGCCAAAAAAAAGAAAAATGCAACTCTCCCTCATCAATCAAGTGCAGAAATCTTTAACAAACAGAATACAGCTATGTTATTATAAAAGAATTATATACTATAACCAAGTTGATTTGTTCCAGTGATGTAGGACTGGTTCAATATTTAAAAACTGAATCACTGTGGCCCAGCGTAGTAGCTCACGCCTGTAATCCTAGCACTTTGGGAGGCCTAGGTGGGCAGATCGTTTGAGCTCAGGAGTTCGAGACCAGCCTGAGCAAGAGTGAGACCTGTCTCTACTAAAAAAAGTAGAAAGAAATTAGCTGGATAACTTAAAATATATATAGAAAAAATTAGCCAGGCATGGTGGTGCATGTCCATAATCCCGGCTACTTGGGAGGCTGAGGCAGAAGGATTGCTTGAGCCCAGGAGTTTGAGGTTGCTCTGAGCTGGGCTGATGCCACAGCACCCTAGCCCGGGTAACAGAGTAAGACTCTGTCTCAAAAAAACAAAACAAAAACAAAAAAACTCTGAATCATACACCATTAACAAGCTAATGCAGGGAAAAACTACACAATCATAATAATGGATGAATAAAAAGCATCTGACAAAATTCAACACCCATTATGGCAAAAACTCTCATAGAAAAGTAGAAATGGGGGTACTGGATAAAGAGCAGCTACAAAAAAACCCTACAGCTAACATTCTACTCAGTAGTGAAAGACTACGGTAGATGCTTTTCCGGGAAGATTGGGAACAAGGCAAGGATTTCTGCTCTCACTACTCTTATTCAATATAGTGCTGGTCATTCTAACCAGACCAACAAGGCCAAAAAAGGAAATAAAAAGCATACAGATCAGAAAGGAAGAAATATAACTGTTTCTATTTGCAGATGATATGATTGTCTATGTCGAAAATCACAAGGAATCTACCAAAACAATAAACCTCTCCAGGAACCAGTAAATGAGTTCAAAAAGGTCACAGGATATTAGCTAAACATATAAAAATAAATTTCTATATGCTAGCAATGAGCATGTGAGCATTGAAATCAAAAATATAATACAATTTGCAATTGCTTTCTAAAAAGAAAGAAAATACTTAGGTATAAATCTAACAAAACATACAAGATTTGTATACTGAGAACTACAAAATTCTAATGAAAGCAATGAAAGAAGATCTAAATAAATGTAGGAACATTCCTTGTTTATGAATTAAATATTCAACATAGTTAAAATACCAGTTTTCCCCATACTGACATACGTTTAATGTAATTTCTGTCAAAATCCCAGCAAGAGTTTTTGTATTTATATACAAGATTATTCTAAGATTTATATGGAGAGGGCAAAGGAACTAGAATATGCTAAGACAATTTTGAAAAAGAAGAACAATACGGGAGGACTCAGTCTACTTGATTCTAAGACTTACTATACAGCTACAGGAATCCAGATTGTGTGCCGCTGGTAGAGAGGCAGACGCATGGATCAATGGAATGGAACAGAGAACTCCGAGAAAGACCTACAGGAAGATGCCCGGAGGATTTCTGACACGGTACAAAAGCAATTCAGTGAGGAAGGATGGCCTTTTCAACAAATGGTGCTGGGCCAACTCGGAAAAAGACCGAA